CGTGGAATTTCCCTCCGCTGGTGCAGGCACACGGACACTGATCTAAGAAAAATGGATTTAAAGCTCTAAATTGTGCTCAGAAGCATGGAGAGATACATGCTTGGAACCGAGACAGATAAGGAAACAGATTAGAAAAGATGCAGATTGGACATCACATTTGCTCGCGAGTGGGCATGGGCAAGCCACATCTCAAGAGATGACGTCCGGCAAGACGTCCACCACGGAGATGGAGTAATGAAATCAGCAGCTCTGTGCAGGCGCTCGGGTGGATCGTTGCATCGCGTGACCGACGGCTCAGGGGGTGGGGGGAGGGGGGCGGCTGGTGTTGTGTGGCCTCCGATCCAGCAGCGGACAATGCCGACGGTGCAGCAGGACCACCAAAATAGAGGTTGCCCGACCACCCGGGGGTTCTAAAAAATTCTGAGCAGAAACGCACTCGGCCCCATTTGCGAGTGGCGACGGTCGACGAGGGGAGGTGCAGGGAACGTCGGCGGAGGCGAGCGAGGGCGTGCGTGACATTTTGGCCGTCGTTAGCGCTGCCCGATGACATCAGTCGGCCTCGGCTGGGCCCCGTCGTCACGGCAACGCAGGATGCGCTCAGCTAAAAATCAATAGGTGTAATCAAAACGCTGCCAGGGAGCAAGCGGGGGGGGCAGAGGGGTCGTTACCACGGACCTGAATTTTTTTTGGTTTGTTATAAATCTCGCCAAAAGAAAAATGCTGACGAATTTCAGCTTGAACGGAGGTTTTTCTGCTTCTTCTTTTCGCGGCACCCGACCCTTGCCCGTCTTGTCAGAGTGAACAATTACCGCCCGAGGATTCTTTTCCCCGTCCAATTATAGAGTTGTTGAATTTATGGCACGGCCCGGAAAACTTTACGACAGTTCCTGAGAAATGTACACAATATCCTCTTCTCCTGGCGCAACGTGTGTATCAAAATTGATGATCCGAGAAGCAAACGATCATATTTGTCTTTCCCTCCCCCACAATTGTGCTATTGGAATCATATCAGGAGGGGATGAATCCATTGGGAAATCGTCAAGTAATGACTGCGGAAGATCTCATTCGTGGGACCTCCCAAAAATCCATCAAGTATGCTTTTTTAAATGCAAGTGAAAGCGGTTGCACTTTCACAGACTGCTTTGAGACTTACTCGTGACCGTCAAAACCAATATTTGTAACTCTCAGAAATGTAATTTAGCAAAATAAAATTGTAAAAACCAAAGTTTACATAAGGATTGCTTTTTGTGACTGGGCTGGGTTAATCATTGGCAACTGCTCAGATCTGAACCCAGGATATCAGCCGAGTCTGTTCGCCACTCTGACCCCTGGACCACACAGATTATTTTTTAGTGATCTGGGTTTCATATCTTTTTTTAAAAAAAAGGATTCCTAACCTTGGACATGAGACACCCATAGCATAAATATATTACAACAGACGGGGGTTTAAAAAGGCATATTCCAGGTAATGAAAATTAACGATTTAAAATCAGAGACGGCGAGTAAATGAATCAAGCTGGGCAATCGGCTAATGGCACGCACATTTTGTAAAACCTACGATCTGTTTCGATATTTAGTGAAAATAGGCTATGGAATTAATAATAAATTAATAATATTCAGCATTTTGCTTGATTAAGGGCCTCCCCCACACCTGGGTTAATGGGGATATTTTTAACCAAACAGTACCACCTTGGTCAGTGCTAGTGGGTGGTGGGGGGGGAAGCAAGACCAGTTCCAGATATCACTTGCCACTGATGTTAGCCGTGGCTTGGATTTGAACTATTTTTGCCAGGTTCATGGTCACCCTTGCAAGGGCATCACCGAATCTCAACTCGTTTGCAACCATTACAATTGGCACAAGACTGTTTTTTTTTAAGAATGAAAATTAATTATGATAATGCACGCCTTTAATATAGCCATTCCGAGGAGTGGGTGGATCAAATGGAGATTGAATTTGCATGAGGCTGCCTGCACAGCAATTGCGTGTTTGCATGTCACTGCATAGCAAACGGGTCTCTGACAGGTGATGTGTAAGTGGAGTTTAAGTATCCTTCTCTGGTATGCATGGGGTTTTCTTCTGCCTCTCCGGTTTCCTCCAGCATGCATAAAATACTGAATACTAAATCGCCCAAACATCCCAAGATGGACCTTCCTGAACACACACACAAAAAAACCGAGTCTACAGACTGTGAGGCTTTCCTGAATAGACATGGATTAAATTACGTATTCCGGCTGTAGCTTGACATTATTGCCATTGTTTATTTCATGGCCCGAGTGGATGAAACGGTCTTATTGGTTTTTCTGACACCACTGCCATTTGCTATCGCTGTGCATTTCAATACAAGGATTTTTTTTTCTCCAAATATATTAATATATTTTTGTCACATCGCCTCTCTGCTTGCGAGGCGTAGGCGTACAGCAATAACTATTCCCATCACGTGCCGCACTGCGCTCCGTGCACAGCTCATTAAACCCACATCTTACATCGCATGCACTGATAAATGAATGAATGTGGCGAGAAATGAATGAATTAAAGAAAAATCTCTTGCAAATAAATAACTCGACTAGCCTCGGTAGCCATAACGGGTCAATTATTTATTTTTTGCACCGACATCAAATTTAACAATTGAACGTGGAAAAAAGAACTGCCTCCCTGCTGTCGTGCCTAATACCCATAATGGCATAATCCAAAATGTCAAAATAGGTTTACTGCCGAAACCATCAGCAGACGATAAGCAAAATGCGCCGAGTAGGCTCTGGAACTTTTTGTTGTTACTAAATCTATTATTTCGCCTGCCAATGGCAATGTTTTCCCACTGTGCGGAGCCACAGTGAAAGATTTGGACGCATGCCCCTCATTGGCACACCGCCCCCCGTCAGCACAGATCACGCTGCTACCGACCATGCAGCGGCATTGCTTTGGCAAAAGGAGGCGACCACGCCCATTGTGTGGGTCTTGTTCTCTCCGAGAGAGCAAATTGGGGGGGGGGGGGGGGGCACTGCTGAGTAGAGTGGCTTTAATGATCGAGCCAATTTACTGCCGTGTTGATCTACAGGTATACGCACAATGTTGCTCAATGCGACTGCAATTGTGATGGACTCTAGGTAGCACGGCGTTTTAATGATGAATAGAGGACACTGACGCTTGGGTAGAAAAAGATTGATATCAAAGATTGAGATTACAGAAATAGATAAATATCTCGTGTAATGTACAGCATTTCATTAATCCACTGCTAAACGTAGACCTCCCCACACAATTCAGGCACAGGGAGCTGCAGACGAATGGAAAAAAACTGGGCTTGATAAATAATAAACCATCAAATATGGAATACTTGTACGTATGGAACGTTGATATTTCACGTTCAGAGATGTAGCAATGGCTCGCTGAAACAGGTGAAAGTGAAATATAATTTCACAAAGGCCAGCTTGCTGGGATGTTAAGCGAAAAAATATTGGTTAAATTATTTTATTTTACAAAACATTGTGAAACCCATTGCATTAACTGCATGTGCGGTGTAAGGAGAGGCTTCGGGAATCCATACTTTAAATTAAGATAGGCTTTGGGAAATTTTGCTAAATACCTTGTATGGAAAATTCTGGATGATAATTGCGCTATATGTGTTGATGTTTCTGGAACGATAATTAAAGATTAGAGGGATTTTTTTTTACAGCCCCTAATTGTACAAGGACTTGATAATCTAATGTTCAATGCATTTCCTCTGCTAATCAGTATGAACACATCAAACACCGGTCTCTCCGCCATTGTGCCATACACCAGTTAGCACATCATTAGATCATATTAGTCTCGTTGGATATTTCTGAAATCACACATGCAAGCACACATGTATTGTTTTAGATATTTTACCACGTGCAAATATTGCTGTGCTAAAAAAATACATGTGCACTCATCAATGGAGCATTTTAATCACCTTCATATTTTTAGATTAAAAAAAAGATTCCAAATCAGCAAGGATCAATCCACTGACAGATGAAAACCTCCCCCCAAAGCTGTAGCCATCTATTATATTTTATTATTTGTATATGTTAGATTATGTAATTTGCATACCATATCAAACCGTGATTATTCAGATAGCGTTAAGTTAAAATTGATAAATACAATAAAGGAGTCAACATAAAAAAACTAAATCTGCAATTTCAGGCAAAAATAAGCAACTGGGTACGTGACTTCTCCGATTGCCACACCACAATTGCAAAGATAAAAACAAATCTTTCAGCTAATTAAATCAAGGAGAAATATAGAAAAAAATGGTCTAAATGCATTAACAAATGTGCGTAAATGTCATCCCAATAACAGAACGAAAGGCCAGAATGTGCAACCTGCGATTTTTTTTGGGGGGGGGGGGGTGAAACATCACAAAAAATAACTTACAAATAATGCTCTTTGGTTTAACTGCCCCATAAAAAATGTTTCCTGCGGAAAATTACTGCACAAAAACAGGCGGATGAGATGGCTCAAATGGACGACGAAAAATTGCTTGCAAACCGCCATAAATGTGGCATCTCGGATTTAATTTCGTCGTCTGCGGACACAACAACAGACCCCATCGAGACATCGCCAACCCATTCAGTGACACGGTGCACATAAAATGGCTGGGAAGGAAAATATTAAATGAATTTACGTTTTCATCACGTCGATAATAAAAACGCCGATGAAAATTTAAGACAATTAAATGATGGCCAACGACGACATCCGACTAAGGTGACACGGATTCATAAAGCTGAGAGAGAGAGAGGGGAAGGGGGAAAAAACCGGTAAGAAATTTTAAATGTAAGAAGGAGGCATGATAGCTGCGTGTGAATTATATCCACAAGCCCCGTCTGCTGTACCCCGCTTGGCTCCTGACAACAATAAAAACCCGCCTCGTTACATTTTCTAAGAAAATCCTGCTCGCGTTTCTCATCTTAATTCGCCAACGATTGCATTTTCTGGTGCATGTATTAAAAAATCAAACAACAAAAACAACAACAACAACACGTACCTTCCTTTCTCCGTTGCGCACAGTCGCTAAGAATGCAATAAAGCCCTTTGCAAAGAGCAATTCCCGTCTCACCGTAAAATAATGACCGGCCACGATAAAACAATGGGACTACATATTTGTTTATTTAATTAGCGCACGACTGCTGTAGGAAAAAGCGCAACGCGCACGCGTTGAATCCACACACACATTGCTTTTAAAACGCGCGCACACACACACACACTTGCTAAACGTGTGCTTTCGGAGCAAAAAAATAAAAGCAACATTCGTGCGGTAAGCATACCGTGGAAGATCGCGTGCTTAGCGGATTGTCATTCCGTACCTTGTAACAGAAGCGGTTTTGCCGAGTTGTTGTGTTCTTCTTCTTCTCCTCGATGTCAGGGCAGAGCTGCAAGTCTCAAAATGGCTCGAGAACGGAGAGAGACGTCGGGGGGGGAAGAAGAAGAAGCAGCAGCAGCAAAAAAAAATCGTACGGGGCGTGAGATTTTAAATAAATAAAACAAGCGAAGAGGGAGGGGGATGGTGTGAGGGAGGAAACGATAGTGGGGGGTGGTGGCGGCGGCAGAGGATTATTAATATTATTATTATTGTTGTAGTTGTAGTATTCGCGCTGCTGATAATGTCAACGCGTTGCCGTGCCAAATGCAACAGTGCCACCCGGTGGTTGAAACGCTTCACACTCTGTACGTTGGACGTGGTAACGGTCCAGAATAATAAACTCGGTTTTTTTAATTAAAAAAAAATGTTTTTTTTTAAACAAACAACAACAACAACCAGCACCAGCAGCACGGTTTTATTATTAACGACTTCGTTTATAAGTTTATAAGTCGCGGTCTTTGAGGAGGACGTCGATGGCGCCCGCGTTTTGCGCGAGCCGATTCCACAGTTTAGGGACCGCGGCGTTTTTTACCTACCCACACATTAATATGTAAATAATAATGAGGCGTCCATACGAAATGTTAATTGCTTTAAAGTAGCGAATTAATTGATTGATTGATGCCGATTTTGATACAGGCCATGCATTGTCACGGGATCTGAACAGGTGTGCAAAATGTGGAATTGCTTGGACAACGGGAAGTGGGCGAAATTTTGATTACAAGATTTGACGACGACAAACAGAGGAATCAAGTTAAGTAAAACCGTTGAATAAGTAATACGTTTTAACAACTTTTTTTTTAAACCACGCTTTTATTAAATGTACTACTCGTAATGGCAGAACTCCACGACTCCACGAAGTGGGCCCGAAGCTTGCCACAGCGTAAGGGACCGTGGTGATTTACAGCCAACGTCAGTTGAGCGTGGTACAATGAGACTCAAGCAGAAACAGCACATGTAAAAAAGAATGTTTAAAAAAATTATGTTTAAAAAAATAATGTTTAAAAAAATATTTTTTTCTTTTTCATGATAGAATATAGTATTGTCATCATCAATAAGCAGTACTGTGCCTGTCTTTTTCTAGACCCGTCCAAAGATTTTGATACAGTAAACCACAACACCCTGCTTAGTAAACTAAGTGGCCTCGTCTTCTTTGGTTCTTTCGGTAAAGTCACGTGGAATGAGAATAAAATAATAAATTAATAAAATAAAATTACAATAAAATTCTCACGACGTTTCGGCCACAACACAAGTGGCCTTCTTGTTGGTTCTTTCGGTAAAGTCACGTAGAATGAGAATAAAATAATAAATTAATAAAATAACAATAAAATTCTCACGACGTTTCGGCCACAACACAAGTGGCCTTCTTGTTGTGGCCGAAACGTGAGAATTTTGTGTTATTTTATTAATTTATCATCTTATTCTCATTCTACGTGACTTTACCGAAAGAACCAAAGAAGATGAATCCTTGCAGTCACGAAAGCTTTAAATCGAAATTTAAGCGGCCTCGGTTTAAAGCTTTCGTGACTGCAGAGATTCATATTCTTGGTTCTTTCGGTAAAGTCACCACGTAGAATGGAAATAAAATAATAAAAAATAAAATACTAAAATTCTCACGGCGTTTCGGCCACAACACAATTGGCCTTCTTCAGGTGAAGAGACAGGTCTGTCCAGCAGAAGACAGAGCTTGAATGAACACTGTCCAGCAAGGGCCGCGTCTTTTAAGCTTAGAGTCGCGGCGACTCTAAGCTTCTACGTGACTTAACCGAAAGAACCAGGAAGATAAGCGGCCTCGGTTTATCCGAAAACGCAGTAAAATGGTTACAAAATTACCTCTTTTCTCGCACCCAAACTGTATTCACAGATGGTTGGAGGTCACACAGTGTTAAGATAACAAAAGGGGTTCCACAGGGTTCCATCCTCGGCCCCCTCTTGTTCTCACTTCATGCCAATGACTTGGGCGCTGAACTGGATCATTCCAGGGTAAATCTTTTTGCAGATGACACGATACTGATTACTGCTGGCCGCTCTCCAGATGACGTGATTGCTAAGCTCCAGGGTGATTTCAACAAACTACAACATCAGCTAGTTGCTCTTAAACTAGTCCTGAATTCCTCCAAAACCAAGGTGCTATGCTTCTCACCAGGACTAAAGCAGGAAGTTATTTTTCCCCAATTACATTCCTTAAATAATTATCAAATAAAGCAAGTCAAAATCTCTCGAGAGGAGTTGTACACCCCTAGCTGCCACTGCTATTCATTAGCGTAAAATAAAATGTTTCGCTCCGGATGACGCTGCAAAGTATTATCTGTATTTTGATTTAGCGTGCTGATCTTAAAGGTGTATTGAAAAATTTGATACTCCGACTGATGCGTCTGTTGTTGTGGAGTAACTCATGCAGTCAGCTATGGCTCTAGGATTTGGTGTTACATGTTATTTATGTAGTTTATTGTAATAATTCGGCCACAGTCCCTGTGATCACTGTTACGTTGCAATTATGGCTTTATTTTTTGGTGATTTGGAAAAGTTTTTTGGTTTGGACATGTTTGTTTTGTTGTAGTACGGAGTTAGACTGATGGCCTTAATCTAAGTTGTCTTGTGGTTGTTGTTGTTGTTTGACTTGCATCCCACTGGGATTTTTTGCACACAGCGTTGGGGTACGGTGCTTTTTTCAGGAATATTTTTGCTGTTTTTTCATGGATTTTTTGTTTGCAGAGTGACATAGTCACTTTAAGATGTTTTTCTTGTTCGTGTTTTTGTTTTTTTGTTTGTTGTGGTTGCACCCGATTCAAGAGCCGAATGGCCCACAGGGCTATACCAAAATAAATAAACTGAAAAAGTATGACATAAGTATACCAAATAATCTTAGCTCTTTCGGTAAAGTCACGTCATCAGGTGACGACCGTTTGTGTTATGGTCGAAACGTCGTGAGAATTATTATTGTTTTATATATATTTTATTATTTTATTGTTTCCCTTCAACGTGACTTTACCGAAAGAGCTAAGAATATGAATTACTGCAGTCACGAAAGCTTTAAATCAAAATATAAGTATACTAAGTTTGCAGTCGATGCCACATTGGGAAGTGGGTTAAAATTGAGTAACAAGATTTGAGGATACAACTACAGAGTGAGTTAAATAAAAGCGTGTAAAATAATAAAAACACCTCCAAAATGGTTTGTTTCGGGGGAGATCACCTAAATATAAATGTGTCTTTAAACCCACCACCGCCCGACACAACCAATTATAAAGGTTTGTCACGTAAACAACACGTGATAATTAATGACTAACTGCGGCATACGCGGTGTGCTAAAGAGTAAACCCTCTAATACTGGTAGGAACCTCCTGGTTACACCACCAGCCCACAGGGGATTATTGTGTCCGTCCGTCCGTCGTGCATCCAAAAATGGGAGGGGTGGGGCTGGGTGGAGAGGGGAGGGTGGGGAGGGGCTGGGTGGGGAGGGTGGGGAGGGGACGGTGGGGAGGGGCTGGGTGTGGAGGGAGAGGCTGGGTGGGGAGGGGCTGGGTGGGGAGGGGCTGGGTGGGGAGGGGCTGGGTGGGGAGGGGCTGGGTGGGGAGGGGCTGGGTGGGGAGGGTAGGGAGGGGCTGGGTGGGGAGGGGAGGGTGGGGAGGGGCTGGGTGGGGAGGGTGGGGCTGGGTGGGGGGTGGGAGGGGTGGGGCTAGGTGGGGAGGGGCTGGTCACCCCGTGGTGCCCTTGTAAAATCAACGTTTAACCTACTCACGCCGGCTTGTGCCCGCCCTCACAGTCGGGCATATTGTGCGGAATACACCACGTGGTGGTGCCGCCGTTGACCCTGACCATTGACCGAGCAAACCGACGTTCCTACCAGCTCCCTCCGCAGGAATGTGTTAAAATCACTGTGGTCTGCGCTCCTTCAACGAAGTCGCTAAATTTTGTGGGTTAAGTTTTCGTGACTGCAAGGATCCATACGTCGTGATTTATTTGTTTCAATTTTATATTTTTTTATGCGAACTCTCTCTCTTAAAGCCCCCTCCCTAGTCGTGCCTAGCAAAGCTCAACAGTGACCTTTTTAGCTCCTGCACATGTTGATTGCCATTCGCAAGAAGAGAACATGTAATCAATAATACAGGTTTATTTGGGTTCCATCGCGGAAAACGTGTCGTGAAACCTGCCACCACCCGACACAGCCAATTTAGTAAGGTTTATCATGTAAACAACACGTGATAATTAATTACTAACTTTGGCATACGCGTTGTGCTGGAAGAGTTAAACACACAACATTTGCAGTTTGGGTACTGTGACATTTCGCTCGTGATTACAAACAGCTTCATCAGGCGATTTGCCAGAATTGTTAAGAACGTATCATGCCATCTGTCACGTAAACAGAACATGCGATCTACCCCCCCCCCCAAAACCCCCCTGTATTATGATATTGGTCGCGAAATATCCCTACGTGTTAAATAGAACATGAAATAATGTTGGGCCAATGTGCCAATCACCCTGCGTGCCTCTACTCTTTTTTTCAGTTTTTAGTTTTATTTTGGAATAGCCCTGTGAGCCATTCGGCTCTTGAATCTGGTGCAACCGCAACAAACAAAAAAAACAAAAACACGAACAAGAAAAACATCTTAAAGTGACTATGTGTTGACTGTGCAAACAGAAAATGCAGGAGCAAAAAAAAACAGCAAAATATTCCAGAAAAAAAGCACAGTACACCAAACGTTGTGTGCAAAAATCCCAGTGGGATGCAAGTCAAACAACAATAACCACAAGACAACTTTAGATTAAATCCAAGAAAAAAACAGCAAAAATATTCCAGAAAAAAAGCACAGTCCACCAAACGTGTGCAAAAATCCCAGTGGGATGCAAGTCAAACAACAACAATAACCACAAGACAAATTTAGATTAAGGCCATCAGTCTAACTCCGTACTACAACAAAACAAACATGTCCAAACAAAAAACAAACTTTTCGAAATCACCAAAATAAAGCCATAAAAGCAATGTAACAGTGATCATAGGAACTGTGACCACTGGTGGGAGATGCATTCCTGCAATGGATGATTCCGCAAACTGCACTGCATTGTTTTTATTAAAAAATTTCGCCTCCCACTCGATAATCGCGATTACATTTGAGACATTTTGTTTATCGGTTGCTTTGTTGCATGATTATTGGTTCAATGCTTCAGCTGAAGCAAACCCCCCTCCCCCCCCCCCAATGGTAATTATCGATCCTGGACACATCGCAGCATCTTAATCGCGTTTTGAAATGTATCGTTATATTGCGATTACATCATTATCAGTTATAGATTGTTGTTGTTGTCGTCATCATCTCAGTGAAGTCAACCCATGGCACCCGGGTCTGTGTCCGTGACCTCCTGCCAAGCGGGCAGTCGACACTTCACGTGTCCTCGAAGTGCACCTAGCCTGGCACAGGCGCCGCGGTGACGTCACCGCAGCTTCGTGGCGAACGGCGGTTGTTGTCGTCACGACTCGGCGGAAGTTGACGTCACGCAGACGTGACTGTCGGCGACGAACACTAAAATAATTGACATCCACCTACGTGACATCACTACCAGACGCAAAATTTGGCATCACACTGACGTCACGTAAAAACCCCTCTCGCGCGCGAGTTGGTCTCGAGCGGTTGACGTCACCCCCCCCGCTCCCGCCGCACCAAATCGTCGCCGTGATGTCATCATCCTGCCTTAACGACGTCACCTATTATAAGTTTGACATCGTTTTGACTGATGAAGACCCGCTCGTGTTGCGATCAAAACGTCGTGTTTTTTTTTTGTCCCTTTTATCATTTACAATTTATACATTTTTATTTTCTATCCACGTGACTTCACCGAAAGAACCAAAAGAATATGAATTTGACATCGTTAGCGACCGTGACGCGCGCGACGTTCGTCGGAAAATGACGTCACCCGAGCTGTGACGTCACCCCCGGGTGGCTCAAGCCCAACAAGCCAAAGGGTGAGACGCGAACATGGCGGCGGCGGCGGCGGGTGGTGGTGGCAGGCGGGACGAAGACGCCGAGGCGGCTTTTGATGGCCACAGCAGCAACGAAGACGAAGGACAGAACCTGTGGCAAGTGGCGGAGCGATCTGGCGAGAGACTGACGCGGCGATACGGGCGAGTTGTTGTTGTTGTTGTGTGTGTGTGAGGGCTGGTTTAACCGTGTTGCCGTGTCTGTCTGTGTCACGTCTCGTCTTAGGCTCTCCATCTTAAGCGAGGTGTCCACCAGGTCCAGGTCGAAATTGCCGGCGGGCAAAAGCATTTTTGTTCTCGGTGAGTGAGAGTGCTTTCGTCCCGTCTTTGCCGCGCGCCGTGTGTGTTACTGTAAACGAATGCGAAGTGGGTTGGTGGTGCGCTGGGTGCTTGAGATGGTTGGGTGGAAAAGGCTCCCTTTTGGATTGTGTTGGGATATGTCAAACAAAAAAAAACGCCCTTTGCGGTAATTATCCCTATTTCATCTTTGCAACATGTACTTTTTCTGTTGTTGTTGTTGTTTCAAAACGATGTTAACCGCTGTTGTCGTTATTATCACTTTTGCTGCTGTTTGTCAATTGGATATACTGCGCACCGGCCATGAGAATGTGGAATTTCCTTCACTGCTCAACCAAGTGCACGTTAATAACGATGATGACCACCGCCGTACGCGAGTCTTCGCTAAGCAAGGGATACAGTTGTTTCATTAAAAGTATTACTTCTGTTTTGGATATACTGCCACCCGCCATGGGAATGTGGAATTTTCGCCCTCTAAGGGTTTATCAGATGACCATGACCTAACATCGGTCTGAATACGATGACAAAGTCGTGTTATTAATATTTTACTTATGGATATACTGTACTAGCGTCGATCGTGACATTGTGGAATTTCCACGACTAATCAAAGGCTGCCAAATAATTGATGACCACCCCACGTCTATTCAGCTGAGCACCTGAGCAGAGAAACCCTTTTGACTTTTAGTATTCTCTCCTCTGCGTTTTTGGTTTATTCTGCACGTTAGTTTTAAGCATGAAAGCCGACGTTTGTCTCCAATCGCTGGGAGATTCATCATTCGGTTCATCGGTTCGGTTCGGGAAGTAGCTCCCAGCACGTGGGGAGAAACGTGCCCAACAACGACACTCGGGAACAAACCAACAACGACACATCGGGCGCTTTACAGCGCTACAGTACCTCGAAACGCCACGCAAAAGTTGTAGGTTCCTCATTTTTGACCGTACTACGTATATACTGGTTCCCCCCCCCCCCGTCATAGCCATGTAGATTATACATCATTCGCGATGTGTTCTCGTCAATCATTTGAGCATGTGGCACACTGTTTAAATACATGGATACTTTGCATTTGGTTTGAAGGTACAGTTTGAATAGTTTATATATCGGTGCTGAGTCTCATTGGCGGTAGTGTCTAATTATGACGTTTAGTCATAATTATGCTCGGGTTACATTTTCACGCATTTTCTTTTGGAGGCCAACGGTGTGTTCCAGTTGCGTTACATAACTCCACGTGACCGTAGTTAGCACCATCGTATTGACCTGTCCAAAGTAACTTTGTTTAAATATTAGTCCAAGTAATCCAGAGACAAAACAATCATTGCCTCAATACTTTGATCAATCCACCCAGTTTCAATTGTTTTAATTTACATGATTAGTACTTGAGACACAATCGTTATAATGAGCTCATCTCATAGAATGTGTTCAGCCTTGGCTCACCACTTGACTCTCCTCAAAAACCACTCATCTGTTCAAACCACTTACAGCACTTGAAAAAACTTAACCATTGAGATACATTTACAACCATGACACTAGCCACACGTGCACACTGTCATGCAATAGTTTTTTTTTTTACTCTCCCAAAGAGAATGCAGAATCCTTGAGAAATGTGTTGGGATGGAAGGGAGGGAGAGGCCTGGAAAATTTTGACACTTCACTGTAGCTGCCCAAAGTCACACGGCAATCAACTCTATATTTATAGGAAGGCATTGCGTGTCTATTGTCGTACTTGAGGTCGTTACGTTATGGGCCCTGTAGTCTTTCACAGCTGTGCTCACCAGATACTGGGGATGTAACAATCACATTTATTATTCCTAATGCTCACGATGCATGCGTTGATGTTTTCCATTATTCATCCATATTTGATTCGAGTTCTTGTTAGATGAACCGTCGCAATGAAAAAATGGAAAAATCAAAGAGGATACACATGCGATGGGCAGAACAAACAAGGAATATGGTACAATGAAGGTAAATAAAAATAAGATGAAAACTCGACATAAAATAAATAATACATTCCTGCGGAGGGGGCTGGTAGGAACGTTGGTTGCTCGGCCAGTGGCCAGGGTCAACGGCGGCACCACGTGGTGTATTCTGCAAATATGCCCGACTGTGAGGGCGGGCACAAGCCGGCGTGAGTAGGTTAAACGTTGAGTTTTATAAGGGCACCACGGGGTGGCCAGCCCCTCCCCACCCAACCCAGCCCCACCCCTCTCACCCCCCACCCAGCCCCACCCTCCCCACCCAGCCCCTCCCCACCCAGCCCTCCCTACCCTCCCCTCTCCACCGAGCCCCACCCCTCCCATTTTTTATAACCGAATGTCCGGATACACGTGGACAGACATGCACAGACATACACCATTAATCCCCTGCCTCCTGTGAGAATTAATCCCGGTTGGGCTTCCAGTCCACTACGTTTCCTACCAGTAATGCCCACTAGGAGCGCATTTGTTATATATCCAGGTGTCTGGATACACGTGGACAGACATCCACAGACATACACAATTAATCCCCTGCCTTCTGTGAATTAATCCCAGTTGGGCTTCCAGTCCACTACGTTTCCTACCAGTAATGCCCACTAGGAGCGCATTTGTTATATATCCGGGTGTCTGGATACACGTGGACAGACATCCACAGACATACACAATGAATCCCCTGCCTCCTGTGAATTAATCCCGGTTGGGCTTCCAGTCCATATAAGGGCACCACGTGGTGACCAGCCCCTCCCCAGCCCCACCCCTCCAACCCCCCACCCAGCCCCACCCTCCCCACCCAGCCCCTCCCCCACTCAGCCCCTCTCCACCCAGCCCCACCCCTCCCACGTGGACAGACATCCACAGACATCCACAATTAATCCCCTGCCTCCTGTGAATTAATCCCGGTTGGGCTTCCAGTCCACTACGTTTCCTACCAGTAATATTTGAATCTAATCATAACTCCAAATCATAACAGTGCATATAATTATTTGATGTTGAGTGAATGCATTGGGAATTGTATCATTTGGGTGCTGCTGTCGTATGTGAACAAGTGTTCACTCTGACCTCTTGTTCGATGGCCCCAATACCAGGCGAGGATGGCTCGGGAAAGACATCGCTCATCGCGAAGCTGCAGGGAGCGGAGGACGCGAGGAAGGGACGCGGGTTGGAGTACCTCTACCTGAACATCCATGATGAAGACCGAGACGGTGCGCTGAAGGAAATTATTTGTCACGCACAGTAAAAAAAAATGCATTTCCGCTGCTTGTACGTCTATTGTGCAGGTGTAACGACAATGGGGTTAGGGCTTATAAGCAGGCCTTGTTTGTGGGTTAATGATTAAAGGAAGACGACCAAAAAAAACAGTTTATCTTGCTGATGGCAACCTAAGGCTGTCTATCCCAGATTGTCCAACGCAGTCCGAATCTTCGCTAATGAAAAAGTAGATTTGGTTCAGAGCAAAGTGCGTCATAATGCAACGATTTCGGTCACTGCAATGTCTCTGCCATATGTTTTATTGGAATGTTAATGCAGTTATGACAGCAGCATGTTATGATGGACCCTTGACTGCTTATGAAATTGTTTTCTTAATGAACTTTTAAGCTCAGGTCAACCAGCCTAGATACACAGCCTGGGTGTGCCTTTAAGACAAGAGCTATCTGTGTTTTTGGTTCTATATTCATAATAGCATAATGTGGTGGTGAATTCCAAGTATGGCTTATAATTTCTGGCATTTGTTGAGGATAAAATACAAATTAATAATATTATTTCAATAGTGACAATCACTTGGCGTTTTAGTTAACTAAAATTCCAAATGAGAGAGTTTACATTTCCAGAACATTTTCGTTGTATTTTTTTAATTTCCACTCTTGTCCAAGATTGTCAGCCATTATTTGCAAGACCAATGCAATGTATGAATGCATTCATAAGTTGAATAATGTCACGTTAATGGTTATTGCCTAACTGGGTTGTACAGCACAGTGAAGCAAGATACATTGTACAATATACCATTTGTATGCCATTGGACCCCCAAGCAGTGCAGAGATGATTTTTGTAAAAGTCCAAACCACTCGGAGAGTCACATGGTTATGTTGACAGTAAAAAAATAAATCCTTCTGCTGTTTCAGTCTTGACAGCAGGATCTGTGGGGCAGCGTCACATGAGCCTGTGCTGTTCAGCAGAGCCAAGAATGAAGTCAAATGTTCAATACTCCCGCAACGATCACCTATGCGTGCTCTTTCATGGATACAGAAGTCTTTCACAGCGCCATGCTGGGAAGTCAAAGCAACAAGATACAGGCAGTGGACCCTGTGCAATCATGATGCCTCACTGCTTCAAACATACATAGCTATACCAAGATGAGGAAGCGATGTTCTATGCTGCCTATTATTTCCCCCGAAATAGCCTCAAAAATGCTATTGAAGAGGGTTCTAAATTTAACACGCAGGCTTTTGCAACATATGTTATGATTAATAATTTATTAATCCGCGGCTGCATGAAAGCCGTCGCTTACTCATGGCCTTCCAATTTAAGAGTTCTAAAATTGTATCCACAATGAGGTGTTGCTGCCACTTACGAGCTAAGCTTGCCATCCAGAGGTCTGGTTTGATCTTAAAACGAGGGGGCAGGTTTCTTGAATCCTCCTCAAACTCTTGTCTGCACAGCAGTCGAAATGCGTTGCGCTAAAGTTAGTCAATAGGGCACCTTCGTTGAAGGCGCCTGTGTGGGAGGTCCGCGGTCCCGTCTGCCAGCAGTGGCGTAAACAAGACGGCTAAAGGGCAGTGCCTTTCTACCTGTGATGCAGACCACGCCCGCTGCAACGTGTGGCTACTGGACGGCGACGTCTACCACAAGGGGCTGCTGCGGTTCGCGGCGACGCGGGAGAACGCGCGCGACTCGCTGGTGCTGCTTGTAGCCGACCTGGCGCGGCCCTGGCTCATCATGGAGACGCTGGAGAAGTGGAGCCAGGTGATGCGCGAGCACCTCGACTCGCTCGCCATCCCACACACGGAGCAGCGCGACATGGAGCACAACCGTGAGCCACCGCACGAACCCTAACGCATGCATGCACACGCACGCGACGGCACCTCTGCTTTGCTGTGTCAGAATCGGAATCTTTATTGAGCCGACAACAATCCGATGAGCTGTGAAGCTCTTTTTCACGGATTTCCTCTATGTATGTAGAACTTGTTTTACATCGTACATCGTCCATCGTGCTAATCGGAGGTGTGGGGGAAGAACAACAAACTAAACACATCAGGAAATTCTCAAGAAATGAGTCGGCGGGTCAGAAAGTTACAACAACAAACAATACAAAAACTGATTGGGGTGGAAAGTATGTGAAAGGTAAGCGAGTCACAAAAAGAATATATCCAGTAAAACCTTGGATTGCGAGCATAATTCGTTCCGGAAACATGTTTGTAATCCAAAGCACTCGTATATCAATGCACTCGTATATCAGTTGTGATCACGTGACGCTCGGCAGACAAAGCGTATACGTACTACTACTCGTATTGCAATACCCTCGCTCGTTTATCAAATTAATATTTATTAAAAAAAATTGCTCATCTTGCAAAACACTTGCAGACCAAGTTACTCGCAATCCAAGGTTTTACTGTAAGTGCATTTTGAAAAAGGACATCAGTTCCTTTGGATTTTTGAACACTAAATTCATGCTTGGGCAAGGCAGTAAAACAACAGTCCCAGACCACACCAACACAACAATAACACAATCACTCAATAAAATTGGACGTTAGCATGTGTGCATTTTTGACAGAGCTGGTAGGCTACTCGGATGACATAATTGGAACGTATTTACGCTTGTCCGTCTGTACAAATGTGAACTCTTCACACACATTCACGAAAACGAACAAAACCACCAAACGAAGGGAATGGAAATGACGGCCGTGTGGCCCGTGACTGCGTCTCGCTCCCCACGGCTACACGAGACCTGGCGCTGTGAAACGGCCAGCAAGCTATGTTTATTCATCACTGCGAGCATCTTAGCGGCAATGATTGGGTACGAGAGCGAAATGTGTTTCTAGCTTGTGTGTGCTCATTAACTTCTGATACTGCAAGGGCCTCTTTTTACTCGGTTTACATGTGCATTTTTGCATTATTATCAGGAAAGATTTCCCCAGCCTTGCCCTAATCAATCTGATTTTTTTTCTGAAGATTTGCAATAATTATTAAGTGTTTCTCCTTAAAAGAAAATATGCTGTGTACCAGCATTGACAGTTGAATCCTGAACGCAATGGACACTTCCTTAATTGACTGACTTTGCAGCTTGTGATAATTTCTACCCACCCCAAAATAAAAAAAAAATCCAATCCTGGTTCAATTGCACTGTGAGCACAATCCTATCATAACATTAAGAAAGAGGATTATGGTTGCAAAATAATGGTATCACAGAACTACTTGTGAAATCACTTAAGTAGACTTCAATCCCAACTCCCGATTACCACTGTTGGCTGTGTACGGTGCGAAATAACTTCAACATACATACTAGGACCACACCTTGTATATGCCCTGCTATGAGTGTTGATGGCATAAAAAAAGTATTCTCAGAGCTCAATTTTTCCAAATTAAGTGAAAACCCAAATTTATAATCGCGTGCGTTTTTGGTGCAGTCACTGGTGAGCGGGCTGAGACCAATTCACTTGACCCGGTTTAATTATGCGTGGATGCCGGTATGCGAACCCAGATTCTCAGCAGTGTCGTCAACTCGGTGTCCTGATGTGATATTAACTCAACGAAGCACCTATAGCCATCTCCTGCTGATCGATGGAATGCATATCTAGTCTTTCCTTTATAATATAATGTGGTATTTTGGCTGTTAGATAATTTATATGTATCCTTTCGTTTATATTGCATCACTTTACTCGTGAACCTTGCTCTTGATTGAAAACGTAATATGAAATCTTATAATGGAAACTATTACAGTGAGTCTTGAATAATATCAGGTAAAGGCTCTATAAGATGCCACACAACTTCAGTATTCTCCGGATTATAAGACGCTTTTTTCCCCTCTGTATTGTAAAGAAAAGTGGGGGGTGCATCTTATTATACGGTAGGTTTGTTGTGTGACCAGATATTTATAACTTTACTAGCGGAAAGTACCCGGTGTTGCCCGGGCGAAAAAGACAGACACACATCGACTTACACACACTTACAGACATTGACCCACACACACAAACACATCGACTTACACACACACACATGGACTCACACACACAGACATCGACTTTAGATACACATGGAGTTACACATATATCGACGTACACACATACAGCGACACACACACACACATCGACTCACACACAGACATATCGACTCACACATACTAATGGACTCGCATGCACACATGGACTTAGACAAACACGTTATTGTTAAAAAATGTAGTAAGCTAATTGTTAAATATGAGTTGTGTACACACACACACCACGCACACACATTCACTAAAACACACACACACATCGACTGACACACAGACATATCAACTCACGCATACATTGACTCGCACACACATCGACTGATACACACACGGAGGTAGACACACACACACATCGTGGCAGGCACGCACATGGACTCACACGCACACAAGGACTTAGACACAATAATAAATATATAAATAATTGGCAAGTTAATTTTTTTATATTGGTTGTCAGCACACAAACAAAAATATTGTTATATTTCCAAGGTGATTATTAAAATAGGTTTCTATGTACGCGAGTTTAGCGAAAGAAGCAAGAAATATAAATATTGGTTGTCTGCACACAAACATTCATTTAATATTTGCAAGGTGATTATTTAAATAATAGGTTTTCTATCAACGTGAGTTTAGCGAAAGACGCAAGAAAATTGTACTTAACATTGCCGTGGTGAGGCCTAGTCTCGTGCAGAGCCCCCGGCCTCGCCTAGATTGCCCAGCTGGCCAAGGTGGCACCTTGGCAGGCTGGGGCTGGGCTGCTACCCCTCACCCCCCCCAGCCAAGATCCCCCCACGCGCTCTGCAGTATTATCTACGGCCCATAGTGGTAGCATCTACCGACTGTATAGTAGTAACTGCACGCATCGGAATGGGGGACATCACACTGTGAAGAATTTACCTGAGCGTTTTGTGTATTTTTATTCTATTTTTAACACGAAAGAAAATGTCCCCCTCACCGAACGCGTGTGACTTGGCAGGGGCCTTCCCCCCCCCCACCGAAGGCGTGTGAGTTGGTATGGGCGAGCGCACGCAATAAACAATTAAATAAACTAGCATCGCGCGAAATCGCTCATTTAAGTACTTTAAGTTGAGGGATGGGGAAAAAGGAATAGCGCTTGCTCATCACGAGCCTTACGGCGTGTTACCTGGCTATTCTTTTTTACATAAACTCCACCGTTTGAGAGCCAAATTCTTCGCAAGCGTGCGAACACACAGACAAAAATGCCTTTTATAAGTAAGATTGGCAGTGGGTACAAGTTGTGGGTGTATCTTATGATTTGGACCATATTATAATAAGGAAAATAGGTCTTTTGTATCGAATGATAAAAAAGTATACCTTGATACCCGTGAAAGGGTCCCTCACAGCTACAGCATTTGTTGTCTCTTCAATAGACCTCCTTGATACAGCGTGCGACATAAGTCAGGAACCGTGGGGATGTCATACGAGTCGAGCTCGTTCCTAACATCAATGTGGACACGTGGATCGATGTTTAAGCGTATTACGTGAAACGGTTTGAGACGTGCGTCCCAGCAAATGGGGTGCAGTTCACACATTTACTATCATTTACCACGCAGATGTATGGGGGTTTCTGATTTGCCACACCCTGTACAGCAGCAGCAGCAGCAGCACTCCTCTAACTGCCCCAGTTGTCTGGCATTTCCTGCCCCTGGCTGCCTGCATTGCCCAGTCACTGCTCAAGTCTTGGCTCAAGGCCTTCGTCTGTTCCTCTGCCTGTGACTGAATTTGTCGATGAAGCGTCTTCCTTCACACTCTCCCGTCACACTCTCCCGTCACACTCTCCCGTCACACTCTTCCTTCACACTCTCCCGTCATCTGCTTTCCCTCTCTGCCCGACCGCCTTACACCCACCGTGGTATAAATGATTTTAACACAAAAAAAATCCCCACTCACTTCCAAGTCCCCTTCAGGCACATGCCCCTCCTACGTGCACAGTGTCTTTTTAGATGCAGTAACCTTTATGTACTTTTTTATGTATGTTGAATTTGTTTCGCACCGTATGTGGCCAACTATGACAATCGAAGGTGGGGGGGGGGGCAAGGACAACAAATTAAACACAAAAAGCAGTTCTAAAACATTAAATCCATATTGTAATAGTATAGTCGGTACTCTTCCAAACCGTATCAATAATTATTTTCCACGTGTGAGTGTTATCTAATTATATTATCAATTATTTGAAGCCATTTGTCAATCCACTGCTGGTTGAAGGATGTCCCACACCGTGTCAGTTGTGGGGGATGTTTGTCCATACTTGTCGCATTGAGATGTATTGCAAGGGAGGTGAGTTATAAATATGAAACGATAAGGGTGCGGATCAGTGAAGGTAGCTGGGTGGAGGATGGGTGTGAGGCTTCCCAAGACTGGTTCAATTATATTTATTATCTGTGGCCAAGAATCGTACTTAGGTCGCAGGGCTCATCATGCAGTGTAGGGAACACTGTGCCACAACTCCACCTGCTACTTTATTTGCAAAAGTTTTCACTCCCCACTGGTCTGTGCTAAATTGTCTTTCTCTGGCTCTTGTCAAATTAAATTAATCGTCACCAGTTGGGTGTGGCTGTGCTTATTGCTGCCTGGTTTGCTTTCGGCTGTTCAGCCCAGTCTTCTGTTTTTTTTATTTGAGACATTTTACACGGACAAAGCGTGATTACGCAGATTCATTTATTCAACGTGAACTGTGTGGGAAACATCCCGTCGACTGGACATCTGTGAAAAAGAGCTTTATAACGTCTTGTATTCCTCCAGTATAAATGAAATAAAGGTTCTGAAGCATGCCATCGCTTCTCATGTGATGTGCATACCACATG